ACACACGTCCAGAGCAGGTTCGAAAATTGGAGAGCTGTAACACATTCTGCCTCATTTTGGACTGACTCGTACGTAATAGGAGAAAGCAATCAATTGAAAGAACCATGACAACTGAGAGGAACATTAATGACATTAGGCCTAATATTGTGCCTGAAAGTGGACTACATGATTAGATGCTGCCTGCGCAGATAGCCAATTTTTGACAACCCAGCTCTGGTGAGTAATTATGTGCCGCCATATATTGTGGACACAGTTTCAACTTCCAAAGGGAGGAAGCTCCTCAGTTATGCAAATCTAGACTGTATTACAAGAGGCTATGCTGAAGGAGATACATGAGAGCTAGAGTTCAATGGGCTGTATGTAAAACACCAGCCACCAGATAATTAGCCACACACAAATTTCCATGCAACTGGGACTTGTTCTCTCCTAGTGTAACATGGTGGACATCTTGAGACCGTTAGAGATGTCTTATATATGACTATTAAAAAACTGATCGAGAGGACTCATGTATCCCTGCGTACATGGGTGGAGAACTCGGCTTCAACATGTACCAGCCAGAGCAGATCACATCAGCAGAGACAGCCGAGCTGAGCAAGTCACTGCAAACATGAATCAAAAGTCACTTCAAACACGAATCAAAAACTTTGAGGAGGATTTCCGATTAAAGGCTCTCCATTCTCGTGAAAACAGATTCGAGCTGTGTTTCTGTGCTAATGACAAGGCTAAAAATGAAAGTAATATCATAGGTAAATGACTGTAAAAATGCTATAGTAAAAAAAAACTATTAATTGATTGACAGTAAGTTCCCTTGCTCTATAGTAAGTATGGTGAAAAACTGATGTAATGTAATGGGATGATAAAAAGATGTAATGGGACATTTTGTGTAATTTTTCAGTAAAATAGTTTTAAAAGTATAGTTTTAAGAAGTGAAAAAGAACAAGCAATCTTATAATTTACAATTAAAAATGTAAAAATTGACATTCAGAATGTTTATGACACTTCCCTTTTGATGGTTTATCATTGAAATAACTATGTGTCTTACTTTGTTTCGTATCAGTACATTAGGGATTTATGTTACATCTTATGTTGGTAAATTAATGATTATTGCATTTTTTTAAGTGTGATGTGCTGCTGTCACATATTCCCCATTTTGGACTTTTAAATTAAAGTTTTAGTTTTGTGTCCTGTTGTTACTTGGCAGTTGTGCTCAGTTTGATGTATCTTGTGTATTTGTGTAGTTTTGTTGATAAACTTTAAACTTTGACACTGTGCACCTTCTATGTTTTAGTATTTACCTCAACTTGTGAAAAAGGTACTTGTGATGAACTCTGATTCTTTACCAACTGAAGGTGGTTGTTAGTATATTATTATTAAGTTAAATACAAATTTTAGTATTTTGATATAGTAACACTATTTAAATTAATGAAATATAAAAATTTTTTCTGTATAACATAAAATGTTGCCATTTCACAGATTTGTTTACAGTGAATCTTTTATGAAAGCAAATGTTTTAAAATCCCACCATCGATGACTAAAGGAACCATAAGCAGGTTTGATTCAAACCGCACCCCATCCTTTTGACTAACTGTACATGCTCAGAAGACTTGAAGTTGAACTGAAGTTTACCTGATTCACCAGGGTCACAGTGATTAAGATGGAGGGGAGTCACAGGTCAGAGCAGTCATGTGCTGACTGAATAAATCATCTTACATAAATGCAGCCATGGCAGGACTGCCAGCACGGTGTCTCTGTCATCAGCATTCTTATTTCACACTGCACCTGGCACAAAAAGAGCAAGCGATCCTTATTTATTCTAAAGCACCAGCCTGAATGGTAGAAATGTTAATTGTGCATAGCGAATTCTGTTTCAAGTTTGTTTTTCATCATCAATGCTATTTTTTCCCCCCAAATTCCCTCCAACTCGAACTCTCTGTGATCTGCCCTGTCATTTTACACAGTGCACGATGTGAGGAGTATGCTATGGAGGATGTCCAGAGCTTTCATATACCAAGGCTATTTCCTATAGGGACGTGTGGATGAAAGAAAATAACAACACCCTGCTGTAAGAAGTAAACTTATTATCATAGACAGAAACTGTGGAGAACGTATTTTCCTTTGTGGGCCCATTTAAAGATTCACTGGAGACACTTTCGCCTCCCTCCATCCCCATCCTTACGAATTAGTAAACAACAAGAACGAACACGAACAAGCCAGGAAACTGAAAACAGATAGCGGACGATGAATTGGTAAAGAAAATCAATCTCCTCGTATTGGACTAAAGCGGGTGTAGATAAACACTGTTCTATTGATTTTGGAAGTGTTCTACACATCAGAACAGCAAATTACCCATATCTTGGAAAAATAGGTTTAAACTCCAGTCGCGCTTTTCTTGATCATGTTATTTTGCAGTTCAGTTGTCTGAAAGTGCTTAATTTTGGGCGATATTTATGAGGGGCTCCATTATTGAGGTAAAAGCAAGATGGAGCTCCATAAATCACTCTTGGGTGAAATTAATCACGTGCATGTGCTAATCAATGTTATCCTGCTTCATCTCCTGCGAGCAAACACAGCTTTTGCTGGGCCATTGTCATGTCAGGTGACAGATAGCTCTGATCTAATTATCATACAGAGCCTACTGAAACATTTGCATGCAGGCATCCTCACAATCTGAGTACTCTCAAACTATTACAACTGTCAAAGTGTGAAACTTTTGATAAAAAGAGAACGTCTATTGCTTGCTAAAACATCATATTTTAAAATCTGTTTGTTTAAATGCATCATGACAACTGACAACTAAAATGCTTTTTTGTTTTGTTTTGTGTTTTTAAATTAATAAAAAACCTCTCAGACAGCCTCTCAAATTTTATTAAAATGCCCGCGATAAAACAACAACAAAAATGCACGTTATTCTCCATTCAATTGTGATGTGGCTTGTTGTCAAATAATTTCAGCAAGTCAAAGGTCATGTGGCCTCACTATCACGTAGACTTTGGCCAACTATTCTGAACCCAAACAGAATTGCAAGTATTTTCTAACCCTTTGATTATTAGGTGACATATTATTTCTCAATATGCTAACATTTAAATGATAAGTTTGTGTTTTAAAAAAAACATGCTGTATGTGGTAGGCAGCTACATTTCCTTCCGTTGAAAATCCATGTTTTGCATCAAATCTTCCTTTAGAAATTATGTATCAGGGTTCTTCGAGTCTTTAGTGAACACCCAACTGTTCAGAATCCATTATACATCCACAGAGAACCACATAAAGTGTTATTCCTTTAAAAGGATAACTGAAAATGTCATATCTTTGCATCCAGTATACTATTAACTAACATCAATTTGAATAAACCCATCTATCAGTTTCTTTATCATTTCTCAAAAAAATATTCCTAACATCAGCATTATCAAAAAGGATCATATCTAAGAGGTCTACTGTTTGTTACGTGTATGGCCTAAAATCCAATCAAAGTCCAAGCAGAACACTACAAAACAATCCATATACTGAAGACCACAGTTGCTCAACCAATATTCGCAAGACTAAGATATATTACAGTGTGTCAAATCCAGCAATTTATAGGATTAAAAACTGCATCGCCACAAAGATTGGAAAGAACAAACATTAATATAGTTTTGTATTCGTATGACAAAATAATAACATTGACAAATTAAAATACCATCTCCCATTTTAGAAACACTTGCAACTATTGTGATTCTTCGTCAGAATAAATTCTGAAGGAGAAGTCCTGAATTTATGAATAATTTACATAATGTAGAACAACTTTAATCAATCCACCCAGAAATCTACAGGTGCCTGACATAAAAGGACTCAAACAGAGCTACAGTCTGAACATGTTCCCACACCTTTTGATCATTGAATATCCATGACTTCTCCATTACTTTTTCAGTCATCCTTGATTACTGGATAAGGAATTTCTTAAAATAATTTTATAGGGTCTGCACTCACAAAGAGTGATGTCTAGCCATTTTTTTATATATATTTAATATATAGTTACATTTTGTAACATAACAAAGGAGAAAAAAAAAGGATCTTGCATTGATTTTCTGGATCTGGTCAGTTCATGTCCACATCTATGTATAGGCAAATCTTACAAATATTAAAGTTTGCATCTCACTTTTAACAGGCCTGACACTAAAATACGGTGAAAATATGGTAACAAGGTTCAACAAAGCAGCACAGAGAGTCTCTGTCACACAAGTACTGACAAAAATAGATGTTGCATATACATGCTGAACAATACAATTATTGTTCAGTGTTATCTCTGAAAAAAAGGCCTTGAAATGTAAATAACTAAGAACATCACTTTCTGACATGCCACACAACAGATGGACAGTGAGCACACTGCATAAAATGTCAACCCACTAAAACTGAAAAATTAAGTTTAATTGCTACCTTAAATCATTAAGTAAAATCATCAAATCACAACCTGCAGTGATGCGGTCAGTGCACTTTTTACTAAAATAATTAACTGATAAAAACCACGAAAACACTATTAAAAAGCTATTATTGTGGCAAGTTATATGGATAGATGGAAACAAAAAATGTAAACATTTTTATAGCAGGTTTTGCAGCTTAAACGGCAACTACAATACTTCATCTTCCCTCAAGAAATAGTAGTAACATTTTAAACTCGAATATTACCTTAAGCATTAAAAACAAGAATAAGTATGCAGTATTACAAGGAGCCTTTTAAAACTCACGCGCTCTGAAAAACAGGAAGCTGCCTACATGAACCATAAACATTAAACACGTAGAAATAACATCATACAAATGTTTTGCTATGGTAAACATCACTTATATGTAGCTTAATAGTTTAAAAAAAGTATCCGGACCAATTTTGACAGGCATCATCCATCCGCGCATCCATCCATCTACGGCATTAGCACACAGTCTGTAGGGGTCAAATAGCGCACGCATATTCAGTGCATTTCTGTTTAATTAAACGCGAACATTAGATAAGTCTAGTTAATTTCCCCACTCACCTCAATGCTGAGGAGTCGAGAGTAGTCCTGCTTTCGATGTGTATACGCTGAGCGCTGTGAAGACACTGTACTGTGTGGACTCCCTGTCTCTTTCTCCCCTCCCCTGTGCGCAGCATCATCTCTCTCTCTCTCTCTCTCTCTCTCTCTCTCTCTCTCTCAAATCTCGTGAGGTGTCGCTGATTGGCTGTCACTCGCAGCGCGGTGACTGAGAGGGATCATGAACATTAAGGGATGCGAAAGTAGTTTGAAAATTAAGCCTGCGTTATATGATATCGTCGCGTCTGTTCAGATTTGGGTCACTACTATTAACTCTCTACTTTGATTCAGGTTATCATTAATCTATTTTTGGCCGTGGAGGAAAAAGGCAGAGGCAGCTTTCAAAAAATCCAAACAATATATTGTTTCTACAATATATTTAGTGGTAGCTTATCAGTGGTGACTATGTCAGTTAAAGTACATATGGCAGAAATGTACGGAAAAATCAATTAAAGACGTAATCAAACAGACGATGAACACTATTAACAGCAATTATTAGATGTTGCAATCAAACTTATAGCAACATTTGGTAATTCTGTATGTTGTTTCAGGGTTGGCATCATCTGAGGTCCTCTGAGGGGTTGGCATCATCTCTTCTCAGGTGTTCTGGATCCAGACTGAAGCTTGTGTAAATCGGCAGAAACAGAGAAACAAATAGAGACATAGCCTAATTAGGGTAGCCGCTGTTCCAACCAAGCAAAATTGATTTGTTTAACCCAAGCTAAAGAATAATGATGTGCGTTTGATCAGATATAACTGCAGTACAAGATTATGAGATGCAGAATAGGCAGAATATTATGGACTGACAGCCTTAGTCATAATTCACGTTCATCTTTTTTTTTTCTCCATACAGTGAAAGTGAATGGTGACTGAAGCTGTCATTTTTACATCTCCTTTTGTGTTCCACTGAAGAAAGGTTTGAAATAACATGAGGATGAGCAGGCCCACATGACAGGGTTTTCTTTTTTGGGTGAACTATCCCTTTATTGAAAAGCTTCAGAATCCTGAACATGTTATGCGAGATGGAGAACAAGCTTTTTAGTTCATTTTTCAAAGACTCTGACTTGGTGTCATAAATCTATTGACCCCGTGTAGCTGTTGTGGGCATTGAAGCCTACCTTTTCACTGAAGTATTACGGTCCATAAATTTTTCTGCTGAGAATCAAAAACCCCTCAAGACCCCCGCCTGACTTCTTTTGCACTATGATGCTTTAGCACTTTTCTGACTAGTGATAAAATAATTATGATGATCTCTGGTTATGGAAACAGCTGTACAGTTAGATTCCACAATAAAGGGAAATGCATCATGCCGCCTACATCAGAAGCTATTTAACTATTATGTTATGTTCTTGGCCTTCTTGCATTTAATGGAGCTCTAAACGAAATTTCGAGAGGAGCATGTTTTTCTACTCCTGTCAGTCATAAGGATATGTAAACATCTGCTCAGCTCACTCCCGTGACAACTGTTCTCCGGCATCCTTTATTTTGTTGTATCTCTACTGAACATTCAATTATGTAATCCATGGGGGAAACTTAACACTCGAGCCCTCCATTATGGACAGCAAGGCAAATCAGTTTACTTTAATAGTACCACTATCAAGAATTAGATCAGGGGTCTCAAACGCAAAAGACCTAGCTGGATAATGTTGTCCATCAGGAGACAAATGTTTCACAACCGTACATTTTATCCATACAAAGTTATTGGCACATTTATAAAGTTAACTTACAAAATGGCATGTGTGTATGTGTACAGTCTTGTTTGTTGTTGTCAGCTAGACAAGGGGTCTTATTCACAAATATTTCATTATATTAACAGCATAACTGTTTTTTATATATATATATATATATATACTGTAATCAATTATACTGTAATGTTAAATGGCTATAGTCAATGGTTAAATATTAGGAAAAAGATAACTATTTCCTAGAGACATCAGTAGTGTTGGCATCAGTGATACATGTCTTCAGTTATAAAGAGATGCCATTAAACAAATATTAAAAGTATACTATACTGTCGTTATGTTGTTTCTACATTAATTTGAAGACTGAATGTGAAATTATTGCAATATACTGTAAAAGTGTATTTGAAAACTTTAATGTTAGGTGGGATTAATCGAAATTAATCACAATTAATTTCAGAAAAAATGTGTGATTAATTAGTTAAAATTTTTAGCGATTGACGGCACTAATATAGCTAAAAGATCACCGTCAACATACAAAGTATACTATATCTCCATATAATATTTTAATAATTCTGCCTTTATGACTGTGACAATATCCAAATTTGCATAAATGAGTCATTATACATGAATTATGAAACGTGTGTATACACTGTTAAAACAAACAAAAAAGATTTTTCGAAGCTATAAATAAAACAAAGATTACTGAAACATGTCTTTCTACTTCAAAATGTTGTTTTATTTCAATGTTTCTTGTATCGTTGTAATTATCTGTGAAATTTGCAGTTTCTGAGTGAACATTTTCTTTTCCAAGAAGGAAATACAACAACATTTGTTTTCGGTGTACCTCTCATCAGAGGCATAAGTTACTGTTTAACAAACCTTAAGAAATCTATAGATACAATTAAATGCCAAACCCAAATGCAGAGTGAAAACTGATTTACAGGCTTTATTGAGTGATAAACCAATAATACTCAGAGGGATAAATAAATAAATAAACAAACAAACAAATATCAGATTCTGCCCAATGGACAAGTTTGAGACTCTTGTATTAGATAGAACTTGTGAATTGAGCTTGTTATGATAACTTAAATAGTTAGCTATTTATTAAAAGTCAATCCCTAAAGTCAAAAGCCACATACCATGTTCAGTCATCAGAGAGACACCCCATGAAACCTGGTCACACTTTAACGAAGCAAGACCCCTTCCTGTCGACTCCAACCACTCCTAAACACAATTGGAATTCCTCTAGGCCTGATGATGCCCCATTAGTGGGTCTGTTAGTGGGGGCACAGAATAAAGTTATTGTTTCAGTAGATTTATGACTCAGCATTTAGGAGCAGAATTGAATGATGTGAAATTTTTATTGCTTTGCTCACAATACCCTGAGACATTTCACGACATCAGAAGAAATTCTAACAATTGTCTTTGCAATTTTTTTTCTTTAAAAAAAAGAAAGAAAGAAAAAAAGAATGACCAACACCGCATTAATAATTCGAGTTACCAGGAATGTGACAAGAGCGCTCACAGGCATGATGCTCGACTCTGGAAATGCCACGCATTTACACACACCAGCTGAATTCCAACTGATGAAATCCTGACATGACCTAAATGTATTCTTTGACATGGCTGATGCACATTCCACTTGACTGCTGACAAAGCAGAAAGTCTTGCTCAAGTCAGCGTGAATAATGCTTGTACTGTATGTGTGAAAAAAAGGGAAAAAATTGGAAAAGTGCATATATCCTGTCATACACTGACAAAGCTGTACATGCATGTGAATTAAAGAAAATGTATATATAGTATATATGGACTACTGATAACAATACAAATGCTCTTGACTCCAATAAACCAGCATGATAGTGAAAATTCTCCTCCTTGCTGTCTCCAGTCTCATGCTAACAGAGATTATGGCTGTAATGTGAAGATGAGTATAAATGTGGTGACAGAGGATGGAACGATAGCACACATGCTTTATGTTAACAGCCAATCACTCAGCAGATGTTTGTTTATGCTGCATTAAGCGCTATCTAATCTAGCATAGATACAACACACACTCCATCACACATTAAATATGAAAATAGCATTAAGTTGATTGTAAAGAAGATGAGATTCATCCTAACTAGTGTGTTTGTATGAGTTTTGCAGATTTAAAAAATAAATAAATAAATAAAATAAATAAATACATATAGCCGATCTACAAGGGTAAAAAAAAAAAGAGGTCTGTTGTTTCGTTTTCTAATCCAGGTCTGCCAATATGAATATTTTAAAGGATTTCACTGAGGTTTAGGACAGCAAACGATAATCCGCTTTAAATCAGTAACAGCATATTGGCTCAGGCTTATACCTTATACCACCCAAGACAGAGTCAAGGAGCAATGGGCGCAATTTAAAATAATAAGCAGCCCAGATATGTCATGCAATGCCTTCAGTATTTCAAAGAAAAAAATATGTGCACGGAGCAAACGGCGGTTTGTATAACATACATAATTATGCTGATGACTTCTTGTCACATCCGAGTCTTTGTATCTCCATGTTTCCAAATGAAAATATCTGAATTTATTTTAATGAATGTGGAAACTTCAAGGGCATCTTATTTGCATGTCCTGTAAGGCTGGTGTGTTAAGAGATATAAAGTATCTATTCCCTGAGGATTCAAATGTGAGTCATTGAGGCCTAAGAGAGTAGTCCCGAGCGCTCTTGCTGAGCATGGAAAATTGCAGGGGTTGACCCGTCTCCGCCACTGGAATGTGATTTCCACCCTCAGCAAGAGAGCAGATCCCAAGGACCCAGGGCAACATCACTACAGCAGGGGGAGAAATGTATTAGACGTGCTTCTCAACAGACTTTGTCATGTTGCATTTATAGCGCTACTGTCATGGGGAAACAAGAGCGAAAGAGACAAACACTGGCCTAAAGAATTCTAGAAGGACATACAAGTGCATGTGTGTGTTTTGAAAAAAAACAAAAACAAAAAAAAAGAGGGCAACTGTGCAACAATGTACAATCCATTAACATTAATTAATGCATTGGGCACACTGTAAAAATCATGTTTCGTTGTAAATAAAAGTATTTTTGGAGTACATTTTACTATTTGCGTTCTACTTCAAAATGTCATGTTTAATTCAATGTGTTATATGCAGTATCTTTATAAGTAATTATGAAATTTACAAGCAATTTTTAAGTGAAATTGTGTCTGTCTTTTTTTTCCAGTGTATAATAAACATTGAACAATATATTACAGCATTTTAGGTTCAAGTTGATTTCTACATACTAATATATTTTTCACTTTTCTAGATGTATAAAATAACTTGAATGTATTATAAACAAACATAGATTATCAAATAACAAAACAAATATTAATATTGAT